GAGAACTTCTGGAGATCCGTTTTCTGTCATTTTCATGGATGTCCCCCTTATGGTCTTTTTTAAATTCAGATTTTTTTTAAAATGAAAATGTTGTCAAATGTGTTTCTGCATGCTGGGGAAGAGGCTTCAGTGATTGCTTGCACTGTGTATAAGGAATATTCATGTGGGTCCTCAAAAACCAAATATTTTCTCGTGCAATGAGCTGCCGGAGAGCAGGCAAGGAGGGGTGCTGTGCGTGATTTACATCCTGACTCTTAAGTGGTCCGTGTGGTGGGACTGGGCTGGAATACCAGCAGGGAGGCAGTTTTGCTTATGCATTAAGTGGAGTAGAGATAGACGTCTGTGCTCCCCAAGCATCATTAATGAAAAATCGGGAATGTTCCGAAATAAGGAAGCCTGGATGTCTTCGTTAAAGATGATGGAGGAATATTTTCCTTTGAAAACTTCACTGCATAAAGCACTTGAAACTCATCTCTCACTTTTGTGTTTGCCTATTTTATCTTTCAAAAAAAAAAAAAAAAAAAAACCTCTGAGCCGAGCGCTCACCAAGAAAACTCCTGTGCATTGTTTTTAAAGAGATTTATTCGTTGTATTCATTCGAAAGGCAGAACTAGAGAGGGAGAGGAAGATCTTCCATTCGGTGGTTCACTCCCAGACACCCCAGGCCTGGGCCGGTCCAAACCAGGAGCCAGCAACTCCACCATCTGGGTCTCCTGCATGGTGGCAGGGACCCAAGCCCTCAGCCATCATCTGCTGCCTTCCCAAGCACATTATCAGGGAGCTGGATGGGAAATGGAGCAGCAGGGACTTCTGGTGCTCTGGTATTCAATGCCAGTGATGCAAGCAGGAGCCTAACCTACTGCCCACAATGCCAGGCCCCCTCTAATTTTGTTACCTCTTTTTAAGATGTCCGGCTCTCAGACATTTTAGAGTCTTTCTTTTTTTTTTGACAGGCAGAGTGGACAGTGAGAGAGAGACAGAGAGAAAGGTCTTCCTTTGCCGTTGGTTCACCCTCCAATGGCCGCTGCAGCCGGCGCGCTGCGGCTGGCGCACCGCGCTGATCTGATGGCAGGAGCCAGGCACTTCTCCTGGTCTCCCATGGGGTGCAGGGCCCAAGCACTTGGGCCATCCTCCACTGCACTCCCTGGCCACAGCAGAGAGCCGGCCTGGAAGAGGGGCAACCGGGACAGAATCCGGCGCCCCGACCGGGACTAGAACCCCGTGTGCCAGTGCCTCAAGGCAGAGCATTAGCCTAGTGAGCCGCGGCGCCGGCCAGACATTTTAGAGTCTTACATGGTGTGTTGGGTCCCTCCATCCTCTGACTGGTCAGTAACTCAGCTCAGTACAAGGGCAGGGGCACCCTCTAAGCACCAGGCAGAGCTCGACCTGTCTTGCTACCGCGACTGCACTTGACCCACAACTCATGAGAGAAGCATCATCATGGGGGCATTCATTTTTTGACAGACGTCTCCCAAATTTGGAAGTCATTTGGTGTGATCAGTTGTAGCTGTCCTAACAGTGGACTCCCATCTGTAGTGAGGACTGTTTGTGATCAATGGTGATGGATTCCCCCATCCATCCAACAGTCGTAACCGTGGCTGTGTCCTAAGGCAGCTGAGAAGACCCCTGAGATAACGTACTTTAAGAACTAACACTGCTGCTTCCAGTGGGCACTCTCTAGTTTGGAGCAAATCACTGTAACTTACAGCACATTGCTGGAGAGATGTTCAAGGCCCTTACAAACCTACCAGTAGCTGAGCAGGCTCTTCCACGTGACCGAGGCACTGTGCCCGTTATTGTGAAACTTGGCTTCGCCCCTTTGCTCATGTGACATCTGATGGAGAAACCCAATGTAGAAAGCAGAAACGAACAGAAGGTAGTCGGTTTGTATTGGAGACAGGGACTCTGCCGTCTCACCCATCTGTCTGCATCAGCTGCTGCTGAGGTTGCAGAAAATTCAAAGCACACGGTTTGGAAGCCAGTAGACCATTCAGTCATCTTATTTCAATGTCAACATTCTTTAACTTCCTTGGCAAGCTGTGTGTATATAAACCTGTGTCAGTCCAATATCCAGCCCAGCCTTTAAGTATCTTCAGCAAACTCAACATACGGCCTGGAATCTGTCCCTTTTGCCTCATGCAAAGCTGTAAGCTCAACCAGGGATTTCATCAATGTGTATGTTTAGGAAACTACCTTGTGAGCTCAATATACCTGTTTGAAAAGCAAAAATCACAAAGGATAATGGGTCTCGGGCTTTTATATACTTTAGAAATACCTGGAAGACTTGTTAAATTAGCGGTTGTTGATCCCAGCACCGGATGCAGGTCGGGAATCGGGTGCAACCAAGAATGTGCCTTTCTAAGCAGCCCTAGGGTGAAGCGCCTGTTGCTGAGCTGAAAACCACTGTTACCAGGGGATGAGAGCAGGTGGGGTGATTCGGCTGTAACATCAGGGATTTGTTTTTATTTTTTAAAGATTTTTATTATTACTTGAGAGGTAGAGTTACAGACAGTGAGAGGGAGAGAGAGAGAGAAAGGTATTCCATCCATTGGTTCACTCCCCAAATGGCCACAGTGGCCGGAGCTGAGCCTATCCGAAGCCAGGAGCCAGGTGCTTCTTGTCTCCCAGGTGGGTGCAGGGGTCCAAGGACTTGGGCCATCTTCCACTGCTTTCCCAGGCCACAGCAGAGAGCTGAATCGGAAGAGGAGCAGCCGAGTCTAGAACCAGCGCTCATATGGGATGCCGGCACAGCAGGTGGAAGACTGCCTGCAGGACTGTGAGATCTGGAGATTTAATTTCATTTAGTTTAACAGGCATAGACTGAGTTCTTACTGTGGGCCACAAAGCACTGTGCTCAGTACAAAGAGTGAAAAGGTTTCTGCTTGGCCGGCGCCGCGGCTCCCTTGGCTAATCCTCTGCCTGCGGCGCTGGCACCCTGGGTTCTGGCCCCGGTTGGGGTGCCGGATTCTGTTCCGGTTGCTCCTCTTCCAGTCCAGCTCTCTGCTGTGGCCCGGGAGTGCAGTGGAGGATGGCCCAAGTGCTTGGGCCCTGCACCCACATGGGAGACCAGGAGGGAAGCACCTGGCTCCTGGCTTCAGATCGGCGCAGCGCGCCAGCCATAGCAGCCATTTGGGGGGTGAACCAACAGAAGGAAGACCTTTCTCTCTGTCTCTCTCTCTCTCACTGTCTAACTCTGCTGTCAAAAAAGAAAAGAGGAAAGGTTTCTGCTTGAGGAAGATTCTGTTTCAGAGGGAGCCACACAAGTTGCCAGGCAATTGCAAACTGTGGCAAGGACAGTAGAAATAAGTGTGAGAAGTGAGAGACGCCTATGTGGGTTCTGACCTGCACCATCTTTGGGGCTCAGGGAAGGTTCTTGAGGAAGAAGTCATTTGCTCTTTCTTTAGAAAAATAAATTTGGGATCCGGCATTGTGCCGTAGCATGGAAAACTGCTGCCTGTGACTCTTGCAACCCATGTGGATGCCATTTCAAGTCCCGGCTGCTCCACTTCCAGTCCAGCTCCCTGTTAATGGCCTGGGAAAGCAGTGGAGGAAGTGCCAAGTGCTTAAACCCCTCCTACCCACATGGGAGACCTGGAAGAAGCTCCTGGCTCCTGACTTACACCTGGCCCAGCCCTGGACGTTGTGACCACTTGGGGAGAGAACCAGCAGATGGAAGATCTCTCTCTCCCTGTCTCTCCCTCTTTAACTCTGACATCCAAAATAAATAAGTAAATCTTTAACAAGTAATAATAAATTTATTTTAATTGCCAAATGAAAATTGGTTATATTTATCTTGTCCAACATGATGTTTTGATACATGGTTGTATTTGCTTGTGGTTACCTTCTGTATCTCTCAAAATGATGTTGTCATTGAGTCTAAAATTCAGTTCCATTTTTCTATATTGACTGTTCCAAGAACCAAGACGCATTTCTGGCAAGTCCTGGAGCGTGACTGTCTGTACAAGCTGATGCGGAAGGGAGACTTTTGTTTTCTGTGCTTGAGCAGTAAGAACAGTAAGAAGAGAGGTTCCTGTAAATGGATTTCATTTCTATTCCTTTTAAAGTGTAATTAGAATGACTGGTCTATCGGGTAGGTTATGCTATTTGCTGGTAAACAGCGTATTGATATGTTTCTTCTGAAAGAGTAGATAAGAATGATTAAAATGCATGAGACTGAGTTTTCTGGAATAAATCATTCAAGCGTCATTTAGGTGGTGGGCATTGAATTAGAAGCATGAGAGCTTGCCTGGCTTAAATACGCTTAAATATGCTTAGCATCTTTATACTGTATTTTCCACAGAAGAGGAGTTTTGCACACCTCATAAACATTTGCTGACACCAGTCATTAAATGACTTTACACGACATCCATTTGGAAGAATAAAAGCTACTTCCTGACCAGAGCCTCATGGCCCTCGTTTGTCATGATGTCCCTGGCTTCTGCGCGTCCTTCCATAATTTGTAATGTACATGCGGGAAAAAATGGAAGGAGAAAATACAGTAACTGTGGTGGGAGAAGGGGGTTATAATGGCACATGTATCAGTATAGGGGCGCACTTCAGAAAGTTCATGGAGAGGCTGGTGGTGTGGCTCAGGGGTTAAGCTGCTGCTTACAGCTCCTGCATCCCATCTCAGAGTGCTAATTGGAGGCCCAGGCGCTCCACTTCCACTCCAGCTCCCTGCTAACATGCGTGGGAAGACAGCAGAGGATGGCCCAAGCACTTGGGTCCCTGCCACCATGTGGAAAACCAAGCTGGAGTTTCTGGCTCCTGGTTTGAGCCTGACCCAGCCCCAGCTGTAACAGCCATCTGGGGAGAGAACCAGTGGGTGGAAGATACCTCTGTTTCTCTCTCTCTCTCTCTCTCTCTCCCGCCCCACCTTTCAAATAAATAAATCTTTGAAAAAAAGTTTGTAGAAAATGCATCTTATGAACCAATTATACATGGATTGCAATTTTTGTTTTTGCCCCAAAATAAACCTACTGAATTCTGCTTACTTTCAGCTCAGTGCATGAACTGATGCTTGAGGCTTGGCCCCGGGAGTCCGCCACAGCCGGCGTCACAGGTGGCTCTAGCAGGGAAAGCGCATGTACGGTGGAAAGCTGCGTTTGTGCGTGCCAGCCATGCTCCAAACTGTACCAGCGGATTTTAGCCTTTTTACTGCCCGGGCCGCTGGGAGAAGCACGAGGACCTCCCGCTCTCCCAGCCTCGGGAGGCTGTGAATTACACGCCTCATCCGCGTCACACACTTCCTCCACCCTAGACGCGCAGCTTCCTTGAGTCAGACTCTGACACGTCCGTCCCCAGCAGGCGCTCAAGGCCACTGCCTCCCAGCGAGGACGGGATGCAGGAGCGTGAGGAAGCACCAGCGGTTCATCCCCAGGGGAGGGGAAGCCCGCTTCCTTAGTCATCGGTACCTCAGTTAATGACGATGGGGAGAGAGTTGGCCCGAGTGTCCTGAGGGAGGGGCGGGAAGGTCATGTTGAACGTCTTAGGAAGGCTGAGCCATGGTCCCTCCATTCAGCCGTCCTTTCATCACATTGTGAACGTCAACAGTTCTTTGTCACACATTTAAGGGAAATTTCTGGTTTCCAAATGAACATGGCAAAGAGAGATCTCTAGAAACAAAACACAGATAAAACACAAGTGAGCAGCAACAAGGAGATGACAATTTAGCATCCATAACAGGAAAACAACCTGAAGAATAATGGGTTTTAGAATAATGGTGTATTATATATAGCTTAAGAATTTTCACTAAACAATGTTAAATTTTGTCATAGGCATGAGAAAATATTTTAATGGATATTTAAAAATACTAATTATCAAAATTTTAAGATTGTGTTAAAGTGGTTCTTAGAAATTTAAATACATGCTTATATTACAAAAAAGGATTATTTAAAATTAATTAGCAAAGCCTATATGTTGAGAAGTTAGAAAAAATGCAATTTAAATAGCAAAAAAAATTTTAAAGATTTATTTATTTATTTGGAAGTCAGAGTTACCTAGAGAGGCAGAGAGAGAGAGAGAGGTCTTACTCACTGGTTCACTTCCCAAATGGCCACAATGGCCGGAGCTGTGCCGATCCGAAGCCAGGAACATCTTCCGGATCTCCCACACGGGTGCAGGTACCCAAGGACCTGAGCCATCCTCTAATGCTTTCCCAGGCCATAGCAGAGAACTGGATTGGAAGAGGAGCAGCCGGGACTTGAACTGGCACCAATATGAGGTGCCGGCACTGCAGACAGTAGCTTTACCCTATACGCAACAGCACCGGCCCTGCAAAATTAATTCATAGAAAACATATACTGAACACTAGAGCAGGAATGACTAAAGCAGAAAGCATAAATATAATTAGAAAAGATTGGGGCCAGTGCTGTGGCGCAGCAGGTTGGGTTAAAGCCCTGGCCTGAAGCACCAGTATTTCATATGGGTACTGGTTCTAGTCATGGCTGCTCCTCTTTCAATCCAGCTCTCTGCTATGGCTGGGGATAGTGATGGAAGATGGTCCAAGTCCTTGGGCTCCTGCACCCACATGCGAGACCCAGAACAAGCTCCTGGCTCCTGGTTTTGGATCGGTACAGCTCCGGCGTTGCAGCCATCTGGGGAGTGAATAAGCGGATGGAAGACCTCTCTCTCTCTCTCTCTCTGTGTAACTCTTTCAAATAAATAAAAATAAATCTTATTTTTTAAAAAAAGAAAGAAAAGATTAACAAAACCAAAGGTTGACTTTTTAAAAAGACTAATAAAACTGACAAACCTCTGCCAAGATAGATTAAAGAAAAAAAAATAGAGAAGGCCACAATAACCATAATATCAGGAATGAAAGCAGAATGTTATTATGAAGGCTATAGACATTAAAAATAGAATAAATAGGTTTAAATAACTGTATGCCAGTCACATTTTAAAATTTTTTCACAGAAAAATTCCTGGAAAAATACAATACAACATCAAAACTGAAATAGGACGACATTAAGAGCCAGAAAAGTTGTATAACAGACGGAATCAGAGGTTTAACAATCCTTTCCACAAAGCAAACTGGAGTTACAGGGCTTCTCCAGACATCAAAAGAAAAAGGAACTCTAATCTCCAAAAACAATTGTAGGCAAGTTCTAAAACCAGGAAGTGTTCTGGAACTCACTTTATGAGGCTAGCATAATTTTGGCCTGAAATTCCCAGGAGGAGCATATGGAAATGAGAATATACAGGCTCATGGCCAGCGCCGCAGCTCACTAGGCTAATCCTCCGCCTTGCGGCTCCGGCACACCAGGTTCTAGTCCCGGTCGGGGCGCCGGATTCTGTCCCGGTTGCCCCTCTTCCAGGCCAGCTCTCTGCTGTGGCCAGGGAGTGCAGTGGAGGATGGCCCAAGTGCTTGGGCCCTGCACCCCATGGGAGACCAGGATAAGTACCTGGCTCCTGCCATCGATCAGCGCGGTGCACCGGCCGCAGCGCACCAGCCGCGGTGGCCATTGGAGGGTGAACCAATGGCAAAGGAAGACCTTTCTCTCTGTCTCTCTCTCTCACTGTCCACTCTGCCTGTCAAAAAAAATAAAAATAAAAATAAAATAAATTTTAAAAAAAGAGAATATACAGGCTCATATGAACTAATGATCAGCAACTGCACAATGTTCAGGAAAGATACTATTTCATAGCAAGTTATATTCATGCAGAGAACGCAAGCTTGGCATTCAATTAGAAAATTAAGCACTTGACCATACTAGTAAGTGAAAAGAGAAAAACCATATAAACAACTCAATAGATGCTGAAAAAGCATTTAAGAAAGTTTAGCATCCAGTTAAGACAAAAACTATTAGCAAAGTAGAACTATGAGGGAACTTTGGTAAACGGGTAAAGGAAATTCACAAAAATCTCAAAAGCAAAGGTCATACTTAGTGGAGAAACAACGAAATTTTCATTTGAGATAGTTACAAGACAAAAGCACCTTCCAGCACTCCCACAAACTGTTTACCCAATACAGTGAACAAGACAAGTAAATAAAAGGTATATGGATTAGAAAGGAAAAAGTAAAATTATTATTTTCATGTTATATGTCTGTATTTGTAGAAAACCCAAAGATTTCAAGATAAATTATTAAGGGACCGGCGCTGTGGCATAGTGTGTAAAGCTGCTTCCTAAAGTGCTGGCATCCCATATGGGTACTGGTTCGAGTCCTGGCTATTCCACTTGTGATTCAGCTCTCTGCAATGGCCTGGGAAAGCAGTGGAAGGTGGTCACTCTTGCACCTGCTTAGGTGACCAGGAAGAAGCTCCTGGCTTCTGATCAGCACAGCTCTAGTCATTGTGGCCATCTGGAGAGTGGACTAGTGGCTGGAAGATGTTTTTCTCTCTCTCTCTCCCTCTGCCTCTCAAATAAAATAAATAAATCTCTCTTTTTTTTTAAGATTTTATTTCTTTATTTGAGAGGTAGAGTTACAGACAGTGAGAAGGAGAGAGAGAGAGAGAGAGAGGTCTTCCACCCGCTGGTTCACTCCCCAGGTGGTCGCAACAGCTGGAGCTGCGCCGATCCGAAGCCAGCAGTCAGGAGCTTCTTCCAGGTCTCCCACTCTGGTGCAGGGGCCCAAGGACTTGGACCATCTTCTACTGGTTTCCCAGGCCACAGCAGAGAGCTGGATTGGAAGAGGAGCAGCTGGAACTAGAACCGGCACCCATATGGGATGCCGGTGCTGTAGGCAGAGGATTAACCTGCTGCGCCATGGCACCAGCCCCAATAAATCTTTTTTAAAAAAGACAAATTACTAGAACTAGAGAGCTTATCAAGATTACTAGACATTCAGTATTCAAAAGCAATGGTTTTCCAATATCAGCAACAATTATAAAATATATTAAGAAATATATATTAAGAAATAAATACCATTTATATTGACAATAAAAACAAAAACCCAGGAATTTTCAAAAGAGATTCATGAAACTTCAGGATGAAAAAAACATCAATACTTGGGAAAATATCAAAATAAAATGAATAGAATGCCGATTATTCTGATGTAATTATTACACAATGTATATATTCTTGAATTAAAACATCATATTACATCCCACAAATATGTACAATTATGTTTCAACCAAAAATTAAAATAAAACAAGGAAACAAAACTAGTGGGAATTTTCAATATTTACAAAGATGTCAGTTTTCAATGGATTCAATTTGATTGTGGTAAAAATCCCAATAGCTTTTTGTGTAAGTGTGTGTGTGGTGGTGGTTTTGATTTTGAGGAAATTAAGGAGCTTATTCTAAAATTTGTGTATAACAGCAAATGTCCAAAAATAGCCAAGACACTCTTGACAAAAAGAACAAAATGCTCTTAAATGGATGACTCCTTCTGGGTATCAAGATTTATTGTAAAGTTGTAATAGGTCTAGGGCAGGGGTAAAAGTTAGCCAACACATAAAATAGAGCTGGGAGAAACAAGCCCACATATATCAAGCAGACATTGAGAAACAATGGAGAAAGCATAAACTGTTACGTAAACAGTGTTCAGGCTATCTGTCACAGGTGAAAAGAAAACTTAAATCGTATCCCAGTCTCACATAAACCCAATCCGAGTGGATTAAAGACATACATATAAAATAGAAAAGTTGAAAAGTTTTAAGAGAATAGTGTTGCGAACTTGGGGTAAAAAGAATTTCTCGGCCGGCGCTGCGGCTCACTAGGCTAATCCTCCGCCTAGCAGCGCTGGCACACCGGGTTCTAGTCCCGGTTGGGGCGCCGGATTCTGTCCCGGTTGCCCCTCTTCCAGGCCAGCTCTCTGCTGTGACCAGGGAGTGCAGTGGAGGATGGCCCAAGTGCTTGGGCCCTGCACCCCATGGGAGACCAGGAGAAGCACCTGGCTCCTGGCTTCGGATCAGCGCGGTGCGCGGGTTGCGGTGGCCATTGGAGGGTGAACCAACGGCAAAGGAAGACCTTTCTCTCTGTCTCTCTCTCTCACTGTCCACTCTGCCTGTCAAAAAAAAAAAAAAAAAAAAAAGAATTTCTCACACCACACACACATAGATGAAACTAACCACTGACAGACAAATCAGTGGATTAAAATTAAGGAGGATGCCCTTTGGCATGCCCCTGCCCCATATCTAGTGCCTGTGTTAGAGTCCTGGAGCCCCAACCCCAGCTTCCTGCTGATGCACCCTCTGGGAGGCAGCAGGTGACAGCTCAAGAGTTGGGTCCCTGCCACCCATGTGGAAAACCTGGATTGAGTTTCAAGCTCCTGACTTCTGCTTGAGCTACTGTCAGCATGTGGGGAGTGAAATAACAGATGGAAGATCTCTCTCTGTTCCTCTGTCTCTGCTTTTCAAATAAAATGAAACTAAATAAGTATTTTTTTTTAATTTAAGAACTGTGTTCCTTAACAACAACACAGAGAGAGTAAAAGCAGGTCACGCTGGATACTGCGTTTTCAGTACAAGTAAATATAAAGATTAGAATCCAGAAGATACAAGAATTCCATGAATCAATAAGAAAATGACAACCAACTTATTAGGAAAATGAGGAAAGACACAAGGAGATGGCACAGGAGAAGAAGCAAACATTAATTCACTCATGACCTCAATAGACGTCAAACAAATTTAATTCTAAAACATGAGATGCTCTTTAAGACCCCAAAGATTGGCAAAAATATAAAAACAAAACCAGGTGTGGGCCAGGAGGTAGAGCAGAGGCAACTCTCCAACATTGCTGCAAAGAGAACAAATGGATCCATCACTTGGGGAAAGTGCTTGGGTTTCTTAGCGAAGCAGAAAAATCCATTCCTGGATATAACTGAGAAACTGCTAGTTCTGTGTACTAGAAGGCATGAACAGAAATGTGCATGGTGGCACTCTGTATTAAAAACAAACAGGCTGATGCTGTGGCATAGCGGGCAAAGCCGCTGCCTGCAGTGCCAGCATCCCATATGAGTGCCAGTTCGAGTCCCAGCTGCTCCACTTCCGGTCCAGCTCTCTGCTATGGCCTGGAAAAGCAGTACAGGATGGCCTAAGTGCTTGGGCCCCTGCACCTGTGTGGGAGACCTGGAAGAAGCTCCAGGCTCCTGGTTTTAGCCTGGCCCAGCTCCAGCAGTTGCAGCCCTTTGAGGAGTGAACCAGAAGATGGAAGATCTCTCTGTCTCTGTCTCTGTCTCTCTCTGCCTCTGCCTCTTTGTAGCTCTGATTTTCAAATAAATAAAAAACAAAACAAAACAAAACTATATGCAATCCAAATGTCCATCTGTAATGAGATGGTGAACAAGCTGTGGGCTATTCCTGTAACAGACCAGTGTACAGAAGGAAACCTAAGAGAAGCAGAGCTACACACATCAGCCTGGATGAATCTCAAAATGCTCGTGCTGAGTGGAAATAGCAAGTTAACACATGCATCCAGTACGACCCCTTCTGTCTATAGCTTGAATGAAGGAAGTAATAGATTGTTTGGGGTACAAATAGGGGTGTCAAAATTACAAGACAAAGCAGATGGCTGACTAATGAGATGATGGTCCCCTTGAGGAGGGCGTGGGCAGAGATTTGTATAGGAAGCGCTACGCAAACAAACGAGAAGGCCTATAGATGCCCTGTTGGCTAACACTGCTCCATGAGTGTTCAATTTATTATAATCCTTGTAAGATGAGATTTATATACTCTTATATATGCTGTATTTCACAACATTTACAATTTAATTAAACATTTACAATTTTCCAAAGTAAATACTTGGATGTGTTCTTGGACTGTTTACAAATATGGTTGTCAAAACCTGACACATTAGAAATCACAATCACAAGCAAAAATCACATGAACACAAGAAAACCTAATTAATGTGCCAATATTTGTCTCTTGATTACAGAATTCTTGGGTAAAAGTGCCGAAAATTAATGAAACTTGTACTGTGTTTCTGCTAATTTGTTATTCAATAATTCAATAATTATTTAAAGTCATCTTAGAGACCCCCTCATTTCATTTCCTCTCCTCTATGAAATCCTCTCATTACCTGGTTAATGCCACTCTTAGGATCATTGGTTGCTATTCTCACCCTATCTTTTATACAACAGTGTCTGTTTAAGTGTTTACAACAGGTGATAATGGAACGAACCAAGGCCTTCAGGAACCAGCAGTCAACCAAATGCTTCTTCAGGGATATACTCGGCTCCCCACCCAGGAGACTGTGGCTGGAGACATTGCCCCGTGCAAGTAAAGAGTACCTCGTCGCCCCAGGTCACCAGGAAGTAGCTCTAAAGGCAGATCATCATCCCTCTACCCTTCCTGGACTTTTGGGACTAATGTAATTGCATACAACTCCTGCTTTATAAAAAAAAAAAAAAGGGGGGGGGGAATGTCAGGAAAATGGTGCAGTCTTATCTATGGCGCAGTCTACACCCTGACACCATCCTAAGCTCTAACCTCCTGAAGCCAGGTGGCCATGTGGCCCAACCACCGGTGTCAAGCTCCACCCCCATGTTAATGGGATTCACTGCCCTACTTCCCTGCCCACCCCCTGGCAAAGTTTTAAAAGGACCTGTTCATGGCCGGCACCGCAGCTCACTAGGCTAATCCTCCTGCAGCGCTGGCACACCGGGTTCTAGTCCCGGTTGGGGCGCCGGATTCTGTCCCAGTTGCTTCTCTTCCAGTCCAACTCTCTGCTGTGGCCAGGGAGTGCAGTGGAGGATGGCCCAAGTGCTTGGGCCCTGCACCCGCATGGGAGACCAAGAGGAATCAACTGGCTCCTGGCTTTGGATCGGCGCAGCACGCCGGCCATAGCGGCCATTTGGGGGGGTGAACCAATGGAAGGAAGACCTTTCTCTCTGTCTCTCTCTCACTAACTCTGCCTGTCAAAATAAATAAATAAATAAATAAATAAATAAATAAAAGAACCTGTTCCTGAACACTTGATTCTCTCCTCTCGCTCTCACTCTCTTCCTCTCTGTCTCCTGAACTCTGTCTCTGTCTCCCTCTCACACGCTCTCCTTCTCCCTCTTTCTCCTTCTTTGCCCCTTCCCTCCAGTCTGCTGGGTTTTCTCCAATAAACTCTTTCCCTTAAAAAAACAAAAGTCATCTTTTAAAAAACGTATGTCTGTGTCCTAATACGTGGCATATTGACCAGCCGAGTCCTGGCAGCTGACTGGTGCAGAAACACCTGAGAACTGTGCTCGAAGAGTTTCTTCCTGGACAACCCAAACACCAGGGCCTGACTGCTCAAGGCACCTGCGAGCCGCAGCTCTCAAACCGCGGGTTCCTGAGACCCACCTGTGCTTGTTAAAGATTCTGTCTCTTGACCGTCACCCCAGGTGACTCAGTTGATCCCGAGAGGGGCATGGATTATACATCCTTAATACACACTCCAGGCCGTTCCGCTGCAAGTCATTCACGCACCACCATTTTGCTTAAGTTTAGACTGCAAATTAAGGCACATCTCTCGTGAGTTGTGTCCCTAGACGCTACAGAGTTGATCTTCCTGAACAAAACTTGGGTTTCATATCATGGACCTGCACCCTTTCAGTTCATGCCAGTAACGAGAATGACAGTGTAATTGATGAGACATTGTATGCAGAGGGTAGATCCTAACAGCTGTACCCAATGAGGACTCTAAATGGGGGCTTCTTATTGCTATAATACCATGTTCTCCTGGGAGCACTCAGGAGCCGGTTCTTTCTGTTCCTAGTATAGGGAATAATTATGCTCTTCTTTATAATGCAGCGATTTGACAGGCTGCTGCTTTGTTCAATTGAGTCTGATACTTTGTTTAAATGGCTGTCAGAACTGACAAAAGCTGCCTCCCACAGATAATGTAGATCTCAACAGAAGAAGTGAATCATTGGTGGGTTTACTGAATGATTATATCTATTTTTTTTCTAGTTCACTTGCCAGTTCTCCTAAGCAGGTGTTCATCCTATAGACACTCAATTGGGAGACTTTTTGGATTGGTTGCTGGAGAGCTTACAGTCAAGTTAGTGGCCCATCCTTAGCATGTATGTAAAATTTCTTGGAAGGTGAAATAGTGTCTAATTTTGTACTTTTTTAAAAATATTTTTTCCTCACCTGTTTCTAAATGATGGTCTTTAAAAGTTTTCTAAATTCTTGTTTTTGCCTTAAAGAGTTGTTAGAATATAGTGAGGGGGAGGGGAAGAAGAAAGTGAGAGCAACAACATGAATGAAAAGATAAAAAAGAGAGTAGATTGAAAGGACCTAAATGATTTCAGGTCAAGCTCCTAGATAGCAGGTGTTACAGTCAGAGGTGTGCGCCACTTGTCCAAGTATCCAATTCACCCTGTTACAGTCTTTCATGAATATTTCTCTTTCGAGTTATTTATCCACTAGTTCTATATTCATTAGGTAAATATTCCCAGACTAATGATATATTTTGTGGGGAGCAACTGGGAGCAACTCGGACTAGACTGTTACTGGAATTAAGACTTATTCTATGCATCTGCTCTCCCACAATATGGCGCTGGGAGAGGAGGAAACAGCTTCTACACAGCTGCCTCCAGTTCAATCAATAAGCAGCAGGAGCTGACTCTGATTGGAGGAGAGCAGCGTACTCGGTGTGTGGGTAGCAGAGTTGGGATTGGTGGAAGAGGACTATAAAGGAGGAGAGAGACACCATGCACCAGGAACATCTATCTGAAGGAACGCCTGAGCAGCCCCCGAGAGAGCCGGCCGGCGGTGTGCCGCTCCCCCGCGGAAGTGGGGAAAGTGGCAGGGGGAACCGCCCTTCCATGGAGGTGGAAGGATGGCAGCCAACCAGGGAGGGCCGAGCAGGCAAGAGAACAGCGCAGGGTCCTGTGTCATTCCTCTGCGAAGAGGGGGAGCGACATAATGGTGCCGTGACTCGGATATGAAGCCTAGGAGGCATAATGGTGCCGTGATTCGGATATGAAGCCTAGGCAGGGTTTAGTGTCGTTCCTCCACGAAGAGGGGGAGTGACAATCTTTTATGGAGAATGACCTGTTGTTTTGGTTTATAAAATGGTCTCCCTTGCCTAATAAAAAGTACAAGGTGCATGCTCTTAGTTAGGTGGGGAATCTCCCCAAGTGTTCAGTTTGGTGAATGATAGGGAAGAAGCTCGTCTTCGATTTCTCCTGGTTTCTTTTAGAGAACTTAGAAAATTTATTTTCATCTGAATTTCCAATGGTTGAATTTTCATAGGCTAAAGTCATTGTTATAAGACCAATGAGTCTTTTTTTAAAAAAAGATTTATTTATTTATTTGAAAGTCAGAGTAACACAGAAGGAGAGGCAGAGAGAGAGAGAGAGAGAGAGAGATCCTCCAACCACTGGTTCACTTCCCAGTTGGCCACAACGGCTGGAGTTATGCTGATCCAAAGCCAGGAGCCAGGAGCTTCTTCTGGGTCTCTCTTACCAGTGCAGGGGCCCAAGGACTTGGACCATCTTCTACTGCTTTCTCACGCCATAGCAGAGAACTGGATCAGAAGTGGAGCAGCTGGGCTTTGAACCAGTGCCCATATGGGCTGCCGGCACCGCAGGTGGTAGCCTCACCGCTACGCCACCTGGCCTGCCCTGACCAATTAGTCTTAATAGAACTTTGTGAGGATCACTGTTTTGAGAAGTTTCGGTTTTTCTAATGCTCGCCCAAAACATTCTCATATCTCTTCCTGAAAAGATCCAAGTGTAATAGTAATGGGTCTGAAATGAGTGTGTTTACATAATTTTTAATAAATGGAAGCTGCTCATTTTCTTTTCATTAACGCACTACTGTTTTTAGTAGCTTTCAATTTCCCTTGCCTTTTGGTAGTGCCTGCACGCTTGATGCGTTTCCTTTCTACCCAGCACGTCAGCATTCAGAAGCACCTGCAAGCTCCTTGGAGCCTACTCCCTTAAGAGACTGCTGTAGAAAAGCTTTTGCAATGAGTGGCTTAGTATTTTTAAATGTTAATAACTTCGCTGATTTGGTCCCTCCTCAGGTTGCCATTAAAATTAATTGAAAAACAACAACAAACATTCATACATTTTACATGAAAGCCGAACAGTATTGCGGAATGATGGACAAGTAAAGTAGGCTTTGAGGTAATTAACCATACACTGTCTCACTGACACTGAAATGTCCTGCATTCCTAAGTGAAGGTGTTTATTCTCATGACTTTTCTTTATAATGATTTATTTATTTATTTTAAAGGCAAAGTTACAGAGAGGCAGAAAGAGGGAGAGGGAGAGGGAGAGGGAGAGAGAAAGAGAAAGAGAGGGAGGTCTTCCATCCATTGGTTCACTCCCCAAATGGCTGCAGTGACCGGAGCTGCACTGATCCGAAGCCAGGAGCCAGGAGCTTTTTCCGGGTCTCCCACGCGGGTGCAGGGGCCCAAGTCCTTGGGCCATCTTCTACTGCTTTCCCAGGCCACAGCAGAGAGCTGGATCAGAAGTGGAGCAGCCGGCACTTGAACCCGTGCCCATATGGATGCCAGCACTGCAGGCAGTAGCTTTACCCGCTACCCCACAGTGCCAGCCACCCCTTATGATGCTTTTTAATGATTTATAAATTCAATAAGGAAAGAGAAAAAGTCAAAGTTAGCTTAATTTGATGTTCTTTTAGACACAGTTCTCTACCAGCCCATCTTCGGCCCATCTGTAATATGACAATGCTTGATGATCCCGAGATAATGGAAGACACAAACACCAACCTAGTGTACAGTTAATGCACACAGAAACCCACGGTAAGTAACTTAGCTTTGTCATTTCATTCAACACTCGGGACTACCATAGGGAATAAGTGGTGTTTAGTTTTTAGTCTGCTTTATAAACTAGGTGGGCGCTTGTGCCTGCTCGCTGTGATGACCGCTCTGCCCTACTTGCAGTAGAGTTTCCTTGTGTGTGTTAGCCTCACTGCCCTCGCCAGTTGTCCTTGGCTTTTTCTTACTAATTTCTTCCTTTGCAATTTCTCCTTCTCTTCCTAACCTCTAAATTTTGATTCCACACACTCTTAGCTCTCTTGCAATCAAGGCCTTGTCTACTCTCTCTCTTTGAATTCTGTCCTAAATTTATAATACCACCTGAGTGAATGTGACTACTCTATATGGTTTATCACCCTCCCCACCTGGTCTGATGAGCTCCTGTCACACATCTTCATGCCCCACCTGACACCTCCTCTTGGAGCCTTACAAACTCATGCTCAACGTGCACAAAACCCAACACTTGATTTTTCTCCTTGGGACTGTTTCTCCCATCTCAGTGAAGGGTATCCTCATTCATAGCTACACAAACCAGAAGCACCTTGAATTCTTCTTTCCCCTCTCTTCAAATCCAAGATGTGACTTAGTCCCTCTGAAACAGAGCTCAAAGCCCTTCATTTCATCCCAGACCCCATGTTCCTGGGCTTCTGCCAATTCAGTTGTCCCTCAGTATTGGTGAGGGATTGGTCTGGTACCTCCCCTCAGACACCAACATCTGCAAATGCTCATCTCACTTCTATGAAATGTGTAGTGCGGGCACACAACCAATGCACCTCCTGCATACAATTTAAACCGCTTCTGGATGACTTCTAATACCTAATAGGATGTAAATACTGCACAAATAGCATTATACGATATTGTCTAGGGAATAATGACAAGGAAAAGTCTGCGTGTTCAGTACAGACACAACGTTTCCCCAAATATTTTCCGACCATGGTTGCTTGAATCTGCAGCTGCAGAGCCCACTGATAGAGAGGGCTGACTGTACTCCAGCCCTGGACCACTACAATAATCATTGATTTCCCCTGCTCACTCGCTTTCTCCCTCTGAATCCAATCTCTGTATATCTACAGTTACTTTATATGTAAACTGAGTAATATCACTTTTCTCTGTACAGTCTACTGGTGGCTCACTATTGTCCCTGAGAGAAGAAACAGACTCCTTCTCATGGCTGATCAGGCCTTTGCCTACCTCTCCAACCTTAGCGTGTGCCAGTCTAGAAGATCCCACCCACACTGGCTGCCTCTCATCTTTGCAAACATCCACTCTGAAGACTTCCGGCCTGGGCCTTGCTCTGACCTCTGTCTGAAACCCCTACCCCTGGACCCCCGTTTCCATCTGTACTTGGTTCCTGCTTTTCTCTCAACTCTCAGCTGGAATGGTACCACCTCAGAAGGCCTACTTGGCCACTTTATCTAAATGAGTTCTCTAACCCCATTTTTTCCATAACCCCTGTTTGTTTTCTTCATAGGACTTTGTGCCATTGATGGTGACATACCTTTATTGGTTTGTTTATTTGTTTATTATTGCTCGACCTTACTGCACTATAAATTCTATTGTGGCAGGGATTATTTCTGGTTTATTTACCAATGCAGGCCTGAGAGCTGCTTCTAGGTAGACAATCAATAAATATTTGATAAATGAATGAATGAAGTGCACATGACTAAGTGGTGAAAATGATTTAAATCTAGATCTAACTCAAGACTCTGTTCTTAACTGTTACAATGTATGCAAAATTAGTTCACATTTGTAGAATTTTGATATGAAATTAATTTCAATTTTTAAATTTTTTTCATTTTATTTGAAAGGCAGAGAAGAGAGAGAGAGAATCATTCATTGGCTCACTCCCCAAATGCCTGCAACAGCCAGGGATGGACCTCACTAACGGCGAGAGTCCAGAACTCAGTCCAACTCTCCCATGTGTGTGACAGGGGCCCAAGTGCCTGGAACATCACCAGTTCCTTCCCAGGGTGCGCATTAGCAGGAAGCTAAAGGGGAAGTGGAGTAATGGGAATTCACACCAGGCACTCTGATCCGGGACGCAGGTGTCCCAATCAGCAACTTAACCACTGCACAAATGTCCATTCCCAATGTGAGATTCGCTTTAATAGTATTATGACATTCTAGAATTATTTTAAGATTTGATATCCATAGAATAAGCGTCCATTGGAACTCATGTACTTGACTGATTTTTATTCTCCAGATCAACAGTGGTGCTGGATATTGGACCGTTATTTGACATTTTGTTTACTAAGATGCCTTGACAAGATTGTAATCATTCTTTCAACTCTATCAAAAATTCTGTGAAATCAAACAAAACAATCTATTGTTTTTTTTAAAAAGATATATTTATTTGAAAGCCAGAGTTATAAAAAGAAAGAGAGAGACAGAGAGAATCTCCCATGTGTTGGTTCACTCCCTAGATGGCCACAACAGCCATGTCTGGGCCAAGTCAAAGCCAGGAGCTTCTTCCAGGTCTCCCTTTGGGGTGGCAGGGACCCAAACACTTGGTTATCTTCCTCTTCTTTTGTCAGAGCATTAACAGGGAGCCCCGCCCATATGGGATGCCAACATCACAGGCTGTGGTTTACCTGCTACCTCACAGCGTCAGCCCCAAACAAAATAACCCTGATCTTAACCTCTTCAAACCAGTGCTTCTTCATTTGTAAACCAGAGAAGTAACTACTCCACAGGACCATCGAGAGGGACTAAAGGAAGTGATGGAGGCCAAGTCCTCAACACAGGACTTAGCACATACACTGAGATTCCTAAAATGTATAGTTGATTGAAAGACAAATCTTTAAGGTCAACTAACCAGGGTTCCTTTTGTGTTTCTAGATCCAGAAGAGCTGGGTTGACATGTCCCATCACTGAAGAGTAATGAAACATGGGGAAAATTGGCAGAATTCCTCCATAGGGGAACCACAGGCAATCTCTAAATGTGGATGAATCGGGCTCAACATTTTCACGGGGTTCATATTCAGCAACCGCTGCAAAGGATAGCTACAGTCCCACTTTGAAGTTGGTACATTCTTGGGACTTGTATTCTCGTCATGCATTTCCATTTCCCACCGAAGTATAACTTCTTTTTACAAGAGGAATAATAGCAGCAAACATGTTTTCTCACAAATTACTTTTAAAGAGAAATTTGATTCAGTTTATGGATCCTGTCTAAACAACAGGGAAAAGGTAAGAACACTGATTTTTTCAGTGACGAGAATTTCTTTTTTTCCTTTTATTTATTTATTTATTTTTGGTCTCAGAGGACTTTGTTACCCAGAGTTTGCCAAGTGCTCTATTTCATGCGGTTTAATGAAAGTCTTGGGTCCCATTTTTCTTCAAGATCACTTTGAGAGGACCATATTTCATTCATGAAAAAATAAAACCCTCCAAGTGGCTCTCCTGTCTCAGGTTTTGAATGGTATTTGGACAAATGCAGAGGAGTTGGTGGGGGAAGCCACAGAGGTTCTTTGAGAACCTGAAAACCTAATAAGTGAAGATGAATGGATGTTGAGACATAGATCCTAGTGCCCTCTAACTTACAGGGAACGAAGTTCTACCAAACAGTCACATATTTTAGTGAAGGAAGGCTTAGAGCTAAAGCCCTAAAAATCTCAAGACTCATCAGAATGAGTTTCTTTCTTTGTAACTTATCCTGAAGTGTTGAATTTCTCTTTCTCTCTCTCTCTCTCTCTCTCTCTCTCTCTTCCCTCCTGAAGAAATAAGATAAAATGGCTGTTGGCTGGCACTGCAGCTCACTAGCCTAATCCTCTGTCTGCGGCACCAGCACCCCGGGTTCTAGTCCTGGTTGGGGTGCCGGATTCTGTCCCGGTTGCCCCTCTTCCAGGCCAACTCTCTGCTGTGGCCCGGGAGTACAGTGGAGGATGGCCCAAGTGCTTGGACCCTGCACCTGCATGGGAGACCAGGAAGAAGCACCTGGCTCCTTGCTTCGGATCAGTGCAGCACTGGCCGCAGAGGCCATTTGGGGGGTGAACCAACGGAAGGAAGACCTTTCTCTCTGTCTCTCTCTCACTGTCTAACTCTGCCTGTCAAAAAAAAAAAAAAAAAAGAAAGAAAGAAAGAAAGAAAGAGAGAAAGAAAGAAAGAAGAAATAAGATAAAATGGAATCTTGGCTTCCCTCATGATGGGATTTGAGCTAAAGGGAATGGACAAGGAAATAGTTTTACAACATCCTAAAGAAAAATTATTAGTGTTTTTTGTGTGTCCTATGTGTTGACTTTAATATTTATTTCCTCATTGTTCTAGGAAATCAGTTGATTTTTTTTCATTTGTGATAGCTTATGTTTATTCAAAGGCAATAATGTCAAGATACTTTGGTCCTTCATTTGTATTAGTTTAGTGTCTACAATGAATTATTTTGTTAAATTCAAGCTTTCTTCTCCAGGAGAATCCTTTCTATTTCATATTTCATTTCTTGGTTCTTAATAGATTTTACTCATTGTATTATATCTGAAAAAGTCATTTTTCTGCTTCTTGTAGTATTTCCAAATACTTCAGAAGTAATGGGGCCAGCATTGTGGCATAGTGGGTAAAGCTGCCTGTGACGTTGGCATCACATATGAACTATGGTTCGTGTCCTGGCTGCTCCACTTCTGATCCAGCTCCCTGCTAATGTGCTGCGGAAAGCAGTGGAAAATGGCCAAAGTGTTTGTGCCCCTGCCACCCACATGGAAGATCCACATGGAGCTTTTGGCTCCTGGCTTTGGCTTGGCCCAGCGCAGGCCGTTGTAGCCATCTGAGGGAGTGAACCAGTGGATGGAGGATCCTGCTCTCTCTGTAACTCTGACTTTCAAAATAAATCAATCAATCATGTTTTTAGAAAGGATTAAGATCATTTTCTATTTCTGCTAATAAAATCTGCGTCAGAGTTTTAGTGAACTTTCCCTTGCTTGGCATTTGGAAGGAGGAGGAAGAGGAGGTTTGTTTGATGGCTTCTGATTGATCTGGCTCTCTCAGGGTCCCAAGGGAAGTAAAGGCCAGTGAAGGCAGCTCAATTAAGATAGGGAATAAGAGAATCAAGCCAGATGTCCATCAAATGTTGACTGGATAAAGAAATTATGGTAAAATGGTATATATACACTATGGAGTACTGCTCAGTAGTAAAAAAAATGAAATTCTGTCATTTGCAACAAAATAGAGGCAACTGGAAGCCACTGTATTTAGTGAAATAAGCCAGTTCCAAAAAGACAGATATCGTATGTTTTCCCTGATCTGAGGCAACTCATAGAGTACCTAAAGTGTAATGTACTGGAGTGAAATGGACATTGTGAGATTCAATGATTGTTTACAGCCCTTGTCTCTTCTGTTGAGGAACAATTTTTTTTTTCATACTATTTGTTGAACTCTTTTACTTAGTATAGGGTTAACCTTATGATCATTAAGTAAACTGAAAGTAGATCTTTGTAAAAATTAAGAGTGGGAATGGGAGAGGGAGGAGGAAGAAGGGTTGGAGCATGGATGGTAGGGAGAGTAGGGTGAGGAGTATCACTATGTTCTTAAATCTGTACATATGAAATACATGAAACTTGTATAATTCTAATAAAGTTAAAAAGAAAAACTCATCATTGAGTGTTGTCCTTAGGAAAAAGTCTGTGATCTCAGATTCCTTGATGGACAGGGGAAGAGACAAATATTCTCTGGGGACTTGATCTGCATGAAGGACCAGGCTTAAAAACGTGATTAGAACGCAGGCCAGTTGACATGTGCATCATGCGGTAAGTCACAGTGTGACACTGGCATCCCACATGAGCACCATTTCACATCTTGGCTGCTCAATTTCTGATTCAGCTCCCTGCCAATGCACCTAGGAAAGCAGCAGAAGACGATCGAAGTGCTTATGCCTCTGCACCTTCGTAGGAGACCTGGATGGAGTTCTGGGCTCCTGGCTTTGGCCTGGCCCAGTCCCAGCTGTTGTGGCCATTTGGGGAGAGAACCAGTGGATGGAAGATCTCTTTCTCTGTGTGTCTCTTCTTCTTTCTCCTGCCTTTCAAAATAAACAAACAAATCTTAAAGAAAACAACAACATGCACAACACCAATTAAATGAATCATGGTGAGGGGCCAGTGTTGTGGCGCAGTGGATAAAGCCCTAGCCTGTGGTGCCTGCATTTCATATGAGCGCCTGTTTGAGTCCCAGCTGCTCCACTTATAATCCAACTCTCTGCTAACGGCCTGGGAGAAACAAAGGAAGATGGCCCAAGGACTTGGGCCTCTGCCACCCACGTGAAAGACCAGGAAGAAGCTTCTGGTTCCCAGCTTTGGCCTGGCCAAACCCCAGTCATTGTATGCCATCTGGGGAGTGAACCAGTGGATAAATAATCAATCTCTCTCTCTCTCTCTAATTCTGACTTTCAAATAAATAAGAAAGTTTTTTTTAAAATGTATCATGGCTGGGGCCGGTGCTGTGGCATAGCAGGTGAGGCCACCACCTGCAGTGCCAGCATCCCATATGGGCGCCAGTTCGAGTCCCAGCTGCTCCACTTCCGGTCCAGCTTCCTGCTAATGGTCTGGGAAAGCAGTAGAAGATGGCCCAAGTCCTTGGGCCCCTGCACCCACCCATGTGGGAAACCTGGAAAAAGTGCCTGGCTCCTGGCTTTGGATCGGTGCAGCTCCAACCATTGCAGCCAATTGGGGAGTGAACCAGCAGATGGCACACCTCTCTACCTCTCCTTCTCTCTCTGTGTAACTCTGACTTTCAAATAAATAAATCTATTAAAAAATAAATAAAATATCATGACTGAGCATCTCTCAACTCACTACATTGCTGCTAATCTTAAATTAAAATTCTGAATGTTTCTACTGCTTCTCTCTTGGAGGTCGAAAGGAAGCATTTAGAAACTGGGAATTTTTTTTTCTAAGGGAAAAAATTGTGTTCTGTGCGATCCACAGTTCTTTTTCTTATTTTCTGCCTTGAATATTCTGAGAGGACACCTAGACACTTTCACATTATGTGTTAAATCACTTCCCCCATGTCAAATTAGTTTGCCAAATTGCTTTCTGATCCTGATTCCTCAGGAGGGCAGACTCTGCTCCCTGCATGGGTGGAGATATGCCTTAGCCACATTTTGCAGTCTCCAGCGCCAAGACACGTGGAAAGTATTAGAGAGGACACACTTGTAAGTCCTTGACTTGAATGATCCATGTCCTTATGTTGTCTCAGCTCCTGCTCTGTTGCTGTAACAGAGTACCGCAGACTGGGTAACTTAGAAAGAACATGTGTTTAGCTCGCACTCCTGGGTGCTGGGAAGTCCACAGCTGCCTGTTTCTGGTGAGGGTCTCTGGGTTGTGCCACAACAGCCGGGAGGGCATTGCCTGGTGACAGGGTATATGGAAAAGCAGAAGCAAGAAGGAAAAAGGGGGAACTCATCTTTTTTTTAATCAGGAACCCATCTCATGATAACTAGTCCCCTCCTGGGGTGGTAGCATTAATCCATTCCTGTTCTGGGAGCCCTTTCCCAATTACCTCCCTTTAGTCCCCACCTCCCTGTACTATCATAGCAGCAATTACATCACATGGGTGTTAGAGGGGACACTCAAACCATAGCAAATGTAAATGTTATTTAAAGACCAAGACGGTAGCCTCTGTTGTGCCACAGCGGGCTAAGCCACTGCTTGTGGAAGCAGCACGCCACATCACAGTGTTGATTCAAGTCTCAGCTGCTCTGCCTCCAATCCAGACTCATACTAACGTGCCTATAAAGACAATGGAAGGTGGCAACGGGAGATGGGAGGTCAAGATGGAGTTGCTGGCTCCTGGCTTTGGCCTGGCAGCCTCTGGGAGAGTGAACCAATGGAAGGAAGACCTATCTCTCTGTCTCTCCCTCTCACTGTCTGTAACCCTACCTCTCAAATAAATAAATAAAATCTTAAAAAAAAAAAAAACTCTACTGATTCTGGGTATATCCTATGCAAAGGTTTTTCAAGACTTAAAGTAATTAAGTATGCTGTCTTTTTCAGTAAAATAATGTATTTTTACCTAAATGAAATAGGGTAATATCAATGGATTTTTGCACCCTAAACTATTCCACAGAGAAATTCAAGAGCTAAGGGCAGAAGATCAAGAACTCCATTTCCCAGGTTTTGTCTGAAAAGGCAATTATCATTCTAATATGTCCCATTAGAAGTTGACAACTGCTAAATGAACCTATGCGCACAAGCACACATACATGAGTGGGTTTGTGTTTCTCTCTCTATTTATTTGGAAGAGAGGGAGAGAGAAAGAGAGAATGTATTCCATCCTCTGGTTCACTCCCCAAATGGCTACAACAGAGCTGGAGCTGGGCCAATCCAAAGCCAGGAATCTGGAGCTTTTTCTGGGTCTCCCACACGGGTGCAGGGACCCAAGCACTTGAACCATCTTCTGCTTTCCCAGGCCATAGCAGAGAGCTGGATCAGAAGTGGAGCAGCCAGGACTCAAACCAGCGCCCATATGGGATGCCAGCACTGCAGGTGGCGGCTTTACCTGCTACTCCACAGTGCCGGCCTCTTTATTTAACACTTTGTACCATATATAATGTTACTTCAACTTCAGATTTCTCTAATCTCTCTGTCAAAATGCAGCATGAGGGGCAGGTGTTGGGTGCTGCAGCTACACTGCTGCTCAGGTTATCTGCATCCCATCTCAGGGTGCCTGGGTTCCAGTCCCAGCTCCCTTCCCCAGCTCCCCGCTTCTTGCTAGTGCACACACTAGGGGACAGCAGGTGATGGCTCAAATACTTGAGTCCCTGCTACTTCCATGGGAAATCTGGAAGGATTTTGGGGCTCTGGGCATTGGCCTGGCCCAACCCCTGCTGTTACAAACACTTGGGCAATACATCAACAGATGGGAAATGGATCTCTCTCTCTCTCTCTCTTTTCTCTTTGCCTTTCAAATCAAATAAATAAATATTTAAAATGCAGCATGATTTAGCATCAAACCATATTAAACACAGGTAGTACAGTGCTAGGTATGGAAGATAATACATTAGCATAAGGTTCTGTCATTTCATCTAATGGGAGAATATCTTAGTTTCAAAAATATTTCACAATCAGTCTCTTAAGCCAACAAAAAACAATCGCTAACCTCGAGGCTATAGGCAAACAGAAACACACATCAAAATGTACAGTGACTATTCTTCCTCCATTTGTTTCCTTAGCAAATAGAATTTGATTGCTGAGTTCTTCATGGAACGATGAGTCTTTTGTATTTTATTTCTATCTATAGACACTGAGATCTGTCCCTCTGCCGTGGAGATGTTGTCTTATATGAGAGTCATATTTCAGCAAACATAATTAAACCATCACAAACACAGCCTGGCATCAGTCAGACCAGAGTTATCGCTGCCGTGCTGTAGACGCATACAAAAGTATTTCACATTCTACTGGGGAGGGGGGAGACCACTAAATATTTCATGTTTTTTTTTTATCAGATTGTTTATTTCTCAACATTTTAAAGACATACACTTAATTTTTCTTGACAGCTATTTCTGTCCTCATGTTGGAGAAATAGATATTAAGGGCAAAATTTGCATGGGATGCCAAGAGCTGGTATTTTCCTGGAATGATGCTTACATTGTGCATAAAAATAAATCTCATACTGTTCTCCAGAAAATGTCCTTGGCATTTGATGTGTTTTCCAAAGCTATATTCTGGTAATGTTCTGCATCTAAGGTTTTGGGGCGGCGGTGAGGCAGGGGGTGGGGCGGGAATCATAATTTGGTGTGATTTAGTCTACATTTGGGTTTCGTGCGGAAATAAAAAGCAGACACTAGAGGGTGCTGTTTGATTTTCTTTTTCACAGGGCTGTGCAGCACACTGGGGCCCTGAAGAATACCATCATGTTCTTCTAAACAGGCCCTGCGAAGTACAGAAGTGCCCTGGGTCTGGGGAGAGAGAGAGAGAACTGGAAGGTTCAGAATGGGGTGGAGGCTTCATTAATTCAGAATTAATAAAGAACTAATTCTTCATTACCCTAACCCTGTATGATCGTCATCTTTTGATAATTACTTAATTCCTTTGGTTGAAAGAAATTTTATTAGATTTCAAGCTCTCACTAAATGTCAAATGGTTCTAAAAATAGCTAGAATATTAGACAATGTTAAACAATTAGTGCTCTCAAGTTTTGCCATTAGGATTTTGAGTAGCACACATACCTAATACTGGTTAGAAACTAATTATAGAACTCCCTATTGTCACAAATGCCAGACCCCAAGATGTTGTTTTTTTTCACATCAGACAAATACCAAGCCAACAAGACTCCCAATTAACTTCCATTTTAACCTTTGCTAAATTTGTACGTTTTTGTCTCCCCTCCTTGAGGCAAATTTTTTTGAGCACAAGGAAAAAAGCAATGTTCTGGAGTTTTCTTTCTTTATACTATCATATCGCTTAATATTTGTCTAGTTTCATTTCCTAATGTAAGAATATTTGGAGAAAAAAATTCTTAGTGTGCTCATGCTATAGAGGAGAAAAGGAAGGCATTGGCACGTTGAATGGTTTGTGTTGCAAACAGAATTAGTAGAAGGGGCAGGGTCATCTCCACACTCTTCTGCCCCACCCCAGGAAGTCACCTAAGGGGCTGTTTGGTACCAGTTCTGTAGACGTGCTTGTCTTTAACTCAGGTGTGGTGCCCTCCTAGGCATCCTGAGAGCCATCACCACCGATGCCTGCATCTTCTCCCTCCCGGGTAGAGGGGAAACTTGTACTTCCGAGTCTCTGAAAGCTGCAGCGATGTGACTTGTGTGGGCCAACAAAATGGAAACAGCAGCACCACGTGTCACTTCTGGGCAGAGGCATGAAAGAGCCGGGCTGGGCTTCTCCAGGCTCACCTCCCTTGCTGAAATCCACACGTGGAATCGGCAGCACCGGACGACAGCGGCACCTTGAGCGACCTCCATGCCAGGCTGACAGTGAGGAGCAGAGTCTGCTCACATGAGTGACAAGGAAATCTTTGCTGCTAAGCCAATTAGACCCTAGAGTTTTCTGCAGCCTGGCCCAGTCCCATGGTAGACAAGTGAGGGATGTCAATCAAGTGAGCAAACCAATGACCAGGAATAAAGGTGTGGCAAGAACGGATTTCATTAAAAAGCAAATAAACAATCTATAGTTTTTCTTAAAGATTTATTCCGATTCAATCCCATCAAGGTGGCATGTACCAATACCATCTCATTAGTCAAAGTGATCAGTTTCAGTTCACAATTGGTCATAATGAAAGGATTAAGAGTCAAGGGATCACACAAATAAGACTAGTGTCTGCTAATACTAACTGAAAGAATTAAAAAGGGAGAGAACCATCCAACATGGTAAGCAGGATACACAGCAGACTCATAGAATGGCAGATGTCCTAAACAGAACTCTGGCCTCAGAATCAGCCCTTAAGCCATTCAGATCTGGCTGAAGATCCCATGAGAGTATTTTAGGCATGGAAAGCCAAGACACTCTAGCAAAACAAACAAACAAACAAAACAACTAAATGAAAGATCTCTGCAAGTGAGATCCCAGTAGAAAGAACGGGCCATCAAAGAAGGAGATACCTTTCTCTGAAGGGAGGAGAGAACTTCCACTTTGACTATGACCTTGTCTAAATAAGATCGAAGTTGGCAAACTCAAAAGGCTTCCATAGCCTTGGCAACCCATGACAAGAGCCTAGGGTGATTACTGATACCATAAACAAGAGTGTCAATTGTTAAGTCAACAACAGGAATCACTGTGTACTTACTCCTCATGTAGGATCTCTGTCCTTAATGTGTTGTACTATGTGAATTAACAGTATAGCTAGTACTCAAACAGTACTTTACACTTTGTGTTTCTGTGTGGGTACAAACTGTTGAAATCTTTACTTAATATATACTAAATTGATCTTTTGCATATAAAGATAATTGAAAATGAAACTTGATGTGAATGGAATGGGAGAGGCAGCTGGAGATGGGATGGTTGCGGGTGGGAGGGAGGTTATGAGGGGGGAAAAGCCATTGTACTTCAGAAATTTATATTTATTAAATAAAAGTTAAAAAAAGATTTATTTATTTGAAAGGCAGACTTAGAGAGAGAGAGGGAGACACACACACACACACACACACACACAGATTTTCCATCTAGTGGTTCACTCCCCAAATGCCTGCAATGGCTGTAGCTGGGCCATTCCAAAACCAGGAACCAGAAGCTTCCTCCAGATCTCCCATGTGGGTGCAGGGGCCCAGCAACTTGGGCCATCTTCTACTGCTTTCTCAGGCACATTAGCAGGAAGTTGGGTCAGAAGTGGAGCAGCCAGGACTCGAACTGGTGCCCATATGGGATGCTGGCATTGCAGGCAATGGCTTTAGCCACTACGCCACAATGCTGGACCCCAAAATCTATATAGTTTTTAACCTGGTCATTTCTAATGACTTTGATATGAGAATCAACAGAGAAGTCATGAAATAAGTAATATATCATTTCCTCCTTGTATATTTTTGTGTAAACTTCATCTAAGGAACTCAAGCAAAACACTAGGTGTGATGTTATTGTGTTCAGCTCAGCATCTGTCAGATTTTGAGAACCTACGCCTTCAACAGTGGGAACGGAACAGGTGCAATAACTCCTTGGAATCTTCAGCTCTCCACACGTGAGGTGGCGGGGAGTTGAGGTTTCATGTAAACAAAGAACATGTGCACGACACCCGTTTCTAGCACGTTGGAGGAGCAGTGTGGCATCGCAGCGAGCGTAGATGGTTGACTCCTTGATTCATCTCCGTGCTCAGCATTTTCCCAAAATATCTCGCAAAGACCCAGCAGGAGTAGATAGATGCTCATTGTCCTCCACCTGTGCTGGTTGTCCTGTGTGGCTGCCAAGCTGAGCTGGGGCTCTCTGACCCTCCCGGGGCTGGGAGAACAGACCGTGTACACCTGCCGCTTCAGCCCCATGACCGTGGGCTGCTGCTGCCTTCGACACACAAGACAACAGCCATGGCACTCGCACCCACGCCCAAGGGTGCTAAGCAGCTTGGCTCTGCTTTTTTGGAGTTCCCAGAAAAATACAAAAATATTGTCGGCTTCAAGGCAAGACAGCTGTGGAATAGATGTGAAGTCGGTGTGACTGCTTTTAACTGTAGAGAGGAGAGCCTCTCCAGGGATATATTTAGCAGGCCCTCAATTTTGTGGTTAATTGTGGTAAATGTGTGTTTATGTGCCGCTTATAAGAGAGGGCACTGCCTGCTTCTCTTGTGCATGGCACCTAAATGCTCTGGAAGTACACACGGGACCAGAACACAGTGCACTACAGCTCGGACCAGCACTGCATACCAGGCCCAATGGCTGCGGCTTATTCTTTTGTGTATTATATTTTTTAATTACAGCATTCGACTTAGTATGCAAAGCTTAGCGTCAATGAGAATGATTCGAGCCACCTACTAATGAGAATATTTGAACACAAAGTTTATTTAAAGATAAAACACATTAAAAATCATTTGGTTGATTTGTAAAAAGAGAAGGGGCTGGGTTTGCAAACAATGGCAAGGGTGGAGGGCACAGTGGGTGGGGAAGGAGCTCATCACAAACAGAAGAGAGCAACGCATGCGTATCACAGATCAGACATTTCCAAAACAGCAGGAAGAGGCCCTGGAGGGAGTCAGACCTTCCAGTCATTGCTTCAAAACCATTGCCACAGGCCCTCTCTCCGTACAAGCTGTGATGCCAAAGTGACACTGGCTCAAAGATTTCTCTGGTCAAATTTCTGCTCTGTCTTGGCTAACCAGGTGTTTTGTTTATTCTTTTTTTTTTTTCCTTTAATGACTTTTCATAGGAACCAAAGGTTCCGGTGGCAACTATTTGGGAATTTTCGGCAAGACACACGCTTTCCACAACTGGCTTTTAAAAGCCCTGTTTTGTGCTTTGAAAGAGGAGCTTGGGATTTCACTCACTTCCAGACCTGTGACCACTGGGAACAGGGGGCGTCACGTTTAGGTGCTGGACACTTTCAAATAGGTTTGGACTTCGGGGCACACACGTTCTATCCTACAGGGAGCTGAAGTCAGTAAATTACAGTACTTCAAATGGCAACCTTGAGTTCCTTATGAGGTCGTGCCTGATTTATAGACAAAATGCCATAATGAAATCTGGGTCATGATGAGAAGGAGTGTCCAGACGTGAAGTTCAGCTGAAGAATTGGAAGCTGTAAACGGAGAGGAACATAGGAAATCCCATGAGAAAACAAATACCTGTGAGTGAGCCTGCAGACATATTTGTGGTACCCAACTAAGTAAAGGAAATGTCCCTGCCAAGAACCCACTCGATCCAAATGGCCCTGACTAAGGCAGAATTAATCCACCTTGGAGGAGCGTCCTGTTAACATCACAGGTGCAGCGAGATCCCGGGTGAGGGCCAGGATTTTATTTATTGGAGCAAACATCTCATTCCCGACCTCAGCCCATGCAGCCTGGGCAGACAGATTTGTAAGGCCAATTAAGGTCCTTACGTGGTGGGATAACTCACTTTATTATTAAAAAAAAAAAAATTATTTTCATCTTTTCAATGAAAGAGCAGGGACTCAAAGGTTTAAAAAGGGGGTGCTAGAATCCCTTGGGCATTTTCCCCATCTTTCCTTCTTAGTCGCTGGAACTTTCACCGTAAGGTCTGACTGAATGGGCTTCAACTAGGACTTTCTGCCTCGCCTGTGAAAGAACTTCCTGTGTCCCCCAGCTGCCTGCCCGGAAGCAGAGGGGCAGCTACCTCTGCAGCTCCGGCCATCTTCCTGCAGGGTTCCGGTCACACAGCTGCACAGAGGCCCGTCCACGCGGCTCGTGCAGATCTGCTCACAGCCCCCATTGTCCTCACACCAGTCCAGCCCTGAAAACGGACAGAGGAGCGAATTCAGTACAGGCGGTGGCACCCTCCAACTGCTCCCTAGAGGCAAGGTTTCAAGAGAGGAAAGGGTTCGGGAAAGGCCAAGGTCGTGGAGTTTTGAGGACAAGGAAAAGATTTCCTTA